TATGAGGATTAAGTCAGTGTAGCTGTCAAGATCCACGTCCATCGCACAAACAACAGCCCCGAAATATTCACCACTCTGAAACTGTGAAAGCGACAAATTATCAATGAAAAGAGGGAAACATGTTAATAAAACATGTGCTTCACATTGTCTTTCTGGACTTTCAGCCCCTCTTTATTGTAAGGTCCCACCTGCCAGCGAAAGGGATCAATCGTTTCACTGAGGACGTTTTGGTGAACTACCATCACGGCTCCTCTGTGTTTATATCTTGGAGCACCGACAATTGTTAACGTGCCGTACATCGTGGTAGCAACGGCCATGGAGTAACCTAGAATCAAAGTGCATCAGTTAGTCTGACCCGCTGTGAGCCAACTGTCAATCTCTTTAGCTGATTTTAGGTAACGATCATTGCCTTTGCGGAAAACATGTGGTCATTGCATAAATGTATTTGACTTAGACAAGGAGTTTACTTTACAAAATATATATAGTATTATGGCTGAGAAGAGTCTTCCTATTTTTAATCCATAACACATTCTTACAAACATGGTTAATGTTTGACTTTGCCTCTTTTTTTCATTTCAAATCTCACATAAAACAGAGTACAATGCTTTTTATACCATAATAATAAATAACGTAAAATTTAATTGCAAAGAGAAAAGAAAAGAAAGCATTAGCAGTGCATGCAAATGGTGTTTGTTTGGTTTGTACATTCTTACCCAGATAACTGTCAGTCTCTATATCAGCCTCATAGGAGCCTGTCTTGAGGCCTGACGACGAGTATTGGAGGAAGCCTCCCTTCCACTCATTAGCACCAACAATAGCCATCTGAATTCCCTTTAAAATGAAAGATATAGAAGAAGCAATGAAGTAAGTAAACCTGGGTGTGGTGCAGGGCATTTCCTGTGTGTGTTTTTTACCTCAGGCACATAAACTGCACTGAATCCCTCTTGAGCCATTTCCAATTTCAGTGACTCTCCACTTGTTTTTGATCCTGCAAAAGCAACATAAATGAACACGCATTCATGAGTCTAACTGATCAGGAGGAAAGTCCATGCATGATTCCTCAATAAAACATGTTGAACAACATACAACTATACCTTCAATAGAGAAGAGTTTGGCCTGCAGAGTCTGTCTTATTTTGTCAAGTGCGTTGAAATTCTTCACTTGAAATACGTTTTCTTTGGTAGATGCAATGGTGTCCAGTTCTTTCTTTGCCTGCTCATTGTTGAATGCGTTCCCCACCTATGAATGTTGAAAACAAGAGTCTGAGGATGTGACATCAGCTGCTTAAATTCACTGATTTTAAATATTTGAACTTACTCCAATAGCAAATCGAACAATCTTTTTGTTGTCAGCTAAACTTGCTGCACTTGACAAATCGTCACGGTCGTTAGATTCTCCATCGGTGATGACTATCAACACTTTGTTCACATTTGGCCTGGAACCTTTTGTTGGTGTGAAAACGTCATTGCTGTAAAAAGAAAGAGGCCATTTCTATTCACCCTTTTGCAATGTAAGAAATCGCCTACTATAAATCAATAAACGTGAAAAGTGACATAGTTAAGTTGGCTGTACAATACTTTAACTTTTACTAATTTCATTAACAAAATTAATAAACCCAATAAACATTTATATTAAGCACAAACTTGGGACTGCTATTTTTCCACTGGGGAAATAAAGTGTTACTATTAGTTAACAGAATCAATTTTAAAGTTTCACTGCAGATGTTTCAACAGCAAATCAAGTTGTGCAGCTTTTATGAGCAAGTCCCCATTTAGTTTATTTCCCAAATCTGCAAATAAAAAACAAGTCAGCAAAGGGAAACTGAGATTAGGTTGACAGCTCTGCTCTAATACACAAAGCCAAATTGCATACATACAACCTTCAACACGTGCCCCCTGTGAAATTTGCTATAAAATGATATTGAAATAGTTCTATTGATTTGATTGAACTTAAATAATGAATTCTTAACCACTTCCTTGCAGATAAAAGTCAACATGATAAAGACACTTACACCACGGATCTGATGGCTTTAGCTGTGTAAGTTAACTGCTCTTGTTGTATAATCCCATCAATTTTTCTTTCCCATGAGCCAGTTCCAGAGATCAGATTATCATTGAAGTAATAATGGATTTCGGGAGAACTGGAAAATTGGACAATGGCAAACTGTAAAAACAAGAAAGACATTCAGCCGTCAGTTAGTTTTACTCTGAAATTGGGGATTGTTCAAACAATGAACATTAATTTCATCCACAAATAAGCTCACAGGGCCTGTGCTCTGAACACTGGCAATAAAAACACAGTTATACCTTTGTGTCTGCTGGCAGTGAGCGGACCAGATCTTTTACAAAAGTCTTCATTGTTTCAAAGTCCGATGCATGTACGCTTCCAGAGCCATCCAACAGAAATGCAACGTCTGCTGACCTGCAATCTGCCAGACAGATTTCAAGTTGGTTAAAAAACATTTCTTCAGGACACGCCCCGTAGATGCAGTGTGCAGATTCCGGTCCTTGGAATAAATAGGCAATGAATATTAAATAAATACAAAAAATAAATTCCCTTTTATTGTGACATGTGTAGTGTGTTGAAAATAGATTCTATATGCATGTCTAAGATCTGATCAAAATAACCGAGAACCCACCGGAGGCGTAAACATCTTTAGATGTGTTTGTACATTTGTGAAGGTTTTTACAGACAAACCTCCGTCCCTGTGAATGTGTCTCCAACACATCATCGCCTACACAAATAGACTAAAGTCTCCTCAGTCTGTGGTGGTGATCTGAGGGTAAACTCGGCCCACCAGCATTTAACAGAGACCGTTCAGCCCCGGACAGCAGAAAAGTAACAACATACAGACTTCCCCGGAACATACAGAGTTTGATGCAAAGTTTTTTTAGGATGGTTTCAGTGAAGACATGTTTAATATATTCTATCTTTAACCATTCTTTTCTTTTCATTTTACTGTTTTGCTTCCAAATTTTCATAAGTACCTAAATTTTAGATTGTTTGGTTTGCTATTTCTTTCAAATTCATTCATCCTGATTTATTATTAATTAATAAATCAATTAATTCACGATTAATTTAGTGTATAGACAATACACACATTTCACGAGCATTTATTAGTGTTGTCCTTTCTGCAGGAGGAGAAAAGACGTTACTACATCAGACTGGTGGTTTAAAATGTGTTCCTAAGTTGGTAATGGTAGTGACCCAAAAGTACAAGTGATATTTATATAGCCAATGTTCATTTACTTAGTTATAGTTTCACAGCATGCTGATAATACCTGATTGTGTCAGTGCTCATCACTCAAGAAAGACCTCAAAGTGTCCCAATGCAACCAATGCTCATAGGCACGTTGTGTTGATTGTGTAAAGGATGTAGGTTTTGTGTGTGTATTTATTTTCTTTTTACCGCCAATAGAAGAAGGTACAGGGCCTGTAACTTGATCAGAATTGTCTATCTGCCAGCATGTTCCACTGTACATGGTGATACTTTTGCAGTCCTTTGGGATGGTTGGACCACATGCCTGAAAGTAGCACAAGGATCCTGATTAATGAATCATATTTTCTTGTGTACATTAATAAAATGTAAGGCATTGAGGAAGTTTTCTCAGCGGATGGAAAGTCTATGAAAAGTTTAAAAGAATTTGCCACAATAAATAATCAACATTTGCAGTCTCTTGGCTCACCAAAGTTCTTTGTGTGGAGGGATCACTTGCCATCGTCAAACCGAGAGACATGTTCACTGCAAACTCAGCCTCTGTGTAGAAAAAGTCCATCAGTCATTCTGAACCCTTTGTGATAGCGCCACATCAACAGTTCCAAGACTACAAACCTTCAGCTCTTACTAGTAAAACACGTCCCAATGTGATCTGATTGTTGGTCAAGCTTTAGGAAATGGGAAGTTACTCACCAGGAACCGATAGTTTGGTGCATGATTCGGTACACTTATATATCTGTCCTCTTCCACTTGATGAATACTGTGCAAGAGGAGCACTGACCAGCAAACTGTCCACATGAAAATGACTGATTAGTGAGAGACGATCGATCGTTTGGCAGAAATGCGACCAGCTAACATTTGTCTGGTTTAGATTCCAATTTTCCAGATCAACATTTCTGCTTCGACTTACTCTGATCGCCTTTGCACCACCTGGTATCCAAAACCTGCAGCAGGTTCAGTCAACGTCTTCCAAGCCACAGGATCGATGTTAAAACAGAGTAAAGCGTTTAACCCTGCAGAAGGAAGAACACTTATTTAAATTCACATTATAACATCTGTTTTTTTGTATTCTTTCACACTTGCCTTCTTGCCTTCCTTTAAATTAAGTCTTCCGTTTTTTTGGCCTTAACACAAAGTTCTCTAAATATGGTCAGAAATTATGAAAACACACATCATACTATGTCCTAGTTCCTCGCTATAGCATCATTATAGAAAAGTTTAAACGCCTAATGACAGATCGTCCGATATATTAGATTATCTTGTATCTTGTCAACATCCCCTTTTGCTGATGTAGTTCCTCTAAAAAAATAAATGTCCATAAAAGGTACTGCACTGAAAAAAACGACAATTAACATTTACTTAAAAAAATCCTCGTAACAATTTGCACTCAAAATTTTTGAGTAAAATTTACTGCTGTGATATCCAGTAAAAGTTCCTTAATAGTATTAAGTAAAATCTACTTATTTCTGATGGTAACATTTGTGAAAATATTAGGTAAGTGTTACTTAGTTTAACTGATGTTTCAATTTTTATTACACACACAAATTAAGTACAATATACTATATTTTTTGTATACATATACATTTACAACATCAAAATATTGAGTAGATTTTATTTATCTTTGATATTTACTGTCGTAAAATTATCAAGTACTTTTTATCCTGTTTGATCATTTTAATTACTTGGTTGTTTGAAGTTATATTACCTAATTCATTTATGTAAATGTTGCAAATTCTCTTTTGATAAATATTACCAAATACTATTAATAATCACACGGCTAAAATACAATTCCATTATTTATTCATAAACCTTTGTCAGGTACCTTACGTAACACCTCATTTTATACAGCTATGTAGAACTGTACATGAAACAGCAGTCAACATTTCACATGACAAAAAATTAAATGAAATCTCAGCAGCAGTAAATCAATAAAGCATCAATCAAGCATCAATAAAGAAAAAAGTTTACCTTTACTGAGTGATCATTACGCTTTACAGAAAAAAAGCATATCACTGGAAAATCAAAATGTTTTTGACTCCTGGACGCATTAAACTAAACAGGGCACATCAGGTGACAAAACAGATTGAGGGTTTGACCTGACAAAATATGCTGTACTGACATGAACAACATTCTAAACAACAACATCCATTAACATATTTATATTAGCATTCGGTTAAAACATTAAAGTTTGAGGACAACATCAAATCCTCTGTTAAAACCTTTAAAACAAAGGTTATTTTTAACTTTTTTTTTACCTTGTGAGCATGAATGACAGCAGTTGCCTTTGTTGACAACATTAGGAACATTTAAGAAAGAAAACTCCTTTCAGACAGCAACTTCAACTTTAAAGATGTACTTTTGGTGACAGCTTTATCCCATTCAGTTCCAGGAAAAGTTTTTGAAACACCTCAAAGGTGTAGCGCAGAGTCGAGGGGTAGGCAAGGTTCAGGGAATAAATCAGTCCCATTAGCAACGTGCAAGCTTTGGCTGTGCTGTTGCATCATGTCAATACCTCCTTCCCTTCAAGAATGATGGAAACATCTACTGGTTCTTCTCCATCAGTACCATGGACAACCAGGATCTTGACTATGTGTTGAGTGGCATCACTGCGATTGTCCTCCTGCATGAAATTCACAAGAAAAAAGAAAACTATTTAGTTGACAACAATTCAAGAGTAGGAATACCAGCCTTCTATAGACTATTACAAGAAGTGTTGTAAAACGTATTTAAAAGTTATGCCTAAGTAAAAAAAATTAAATTTGGTGGTTAAATACTACTTTGGTGCAAAAAAATATATTAAAATCACCCATAGATATCGTACTCAAGTAAAGAGACAAAAAATTATTTTAGAAAGAAAACGTGGTTTACCAGGCAATCTTCGAAAAGTTTCTCTTCTTTTTCACCAAGGAATAGTATGAGGCCACTGATAACTGCGTCACGTCACATGTCAGTGCTTGGGTTCTGTGAAAGGAGTAATAGCATCAGTTGCAAACAATAATTTGTACACAATATACTATCATGTCAGAAGATACGAATACTTGCAAGGAGCAGTGGTTTGTTTCCATGTGTGGAAAGGAGAAGTATGTTACAGAGAGTGAGAAACAGCAATATTGTGTCATGCATACATGCAGTGTATTTGTACTTGCCTAATCACAACGGTGCAGTATTTGATTAGTCACTGAACATCCCAGCGCTCCTGACTCTCTGGTCACCTCATGTCCCAGCCGGCTAAATACAAAAACAGTCGCCTGTGAATGAAAACACATATTTTTAAGGGCAACTTATAATTTATAGATTAATTTACAGCCATTTTCATGTTGTGTTTGTCTCTTGACCGTGGCACGCAGCTTCAACGATACACCGCAACGCGGCCGCCATGCTAAAAGTTGAGATGATGTTTCGAGGTGAAAGCACATAGACAATAACTAAAAAAACGAAAAACTTTGGCGTAGCGTTGTGTTATATTCGCACTACACGGGACAGTACATGAGACAAAATACAATAGCTCTGAATAAGATATAGTATCTCGCAAATTAACCGCGCGGTGTGCGACTCTGGTGGAATGAACTGGGTAATAACTAGCTAGCTAGCATTAAGCTACATCACACAAACCTTGGTGTAGACCGCTCGGTGTGCAGTCCATACAATGCTTCAAACTAATCACCAAAACGCGTTTTAAACTGATAATAAATTATTTAATGGATAAAGCTGTTACTTACCTGAGAGATTCCGGAGATATTCACAACTCTGTCTGCTGCCAACGAACGGACGGACAATGGACATCCGCGCGGTACTTTCGTTTGTCCCAATGCGCATGCGCTGATTCAAACGCACTCTAAAATAGTGTCGTAAAATTTACTCAGTATTTTAGTGTTTCTAGCAGAGACTAAAAAACATTTAAATGTTATGAAAACATCCATAATAAGACTTACTCCTTCCACACAGCCATTTTAAATACATAAATAAATTGTGTACATACATGAAATTTTACTTGACAAAATCTAGTTCCCGCAGAAACGAAAAATTTAATTGTAGACATTAGGACAGTTTAATTAGTATATTTTACTACACCACCAAGTTCGTTTTTTCAGTGTGGGTTGGCACCGTGAAACGAATGCCCGCAGCTTCTTTTTATTTAAATTTGTGATGGTTATTAGTTTGGGTTACAGAACACTAAATTGTATGGCTTTAGATAGACACACACATGAACGGCTGTGTCAATTGTGTTAGGATGCAATGTTATTGTAATTGAATTGTTGATATTTGTTGAAACAAAACCACCGGTAGCAAAAGTATCACTACGGCAGCTAAACAGATGTAGTAGAAGTTCATAAAGCAGTTTTTCACTCACAACTCTTGGACCATGAAACCAATAAGCTAAATTATCTTTGTCTTGGAATTCTACAAACATCAAACAACTGAAATTGCACTCCTTTCCTCCAATCTTGCAATATGTCAGACTAAATTACATTTAATTATAATCTATTTGTATCGCACCATAATGAAGGCAGGGTTTAGATATTGGAAATTGGATTTGGAATTTGTAGTAGTCGTTGCGGGCGGAACGACCGACGGAGGGAGGTAGTCGCGCGCTCTGTGTTCACTGCCGTGCACGGTAAAAGGACAAGAAGAACGCCTGGTGACGCGTGGGGAATGTGTCAGAGGGACGAGCGCACATTTAGGAGAAAATACGGTCAATTTTTAAAATAAAACATTTTTCAGAAAAAATAAATAAATATAAGCTTTCTGTGGTGCGGCCCGGTACAGAACGGCCCACGGACCGTTACCGGTCCGCTGGTTGGTGACCACTACATTAACTCATGGCTCTAACATTTTGCCCAGGGAGCAATTAGGGGTTGGGTGTCTTGCTCACGGACACTTCGACATGGGACATGGGGCAGCCGGGACTCAAACCACTAACCTTGTGGTTCCCAGCGCACCCTCTCTACCCCCTGCGCCACGACGACCCCAGTACGGAGCGAACCCCATGCAGGATTAGACTACACCACCTTACACAGAGGCGCCACTGGGTGGAGTCGGACCCGAGGCATCGGTCTGGGAGGTGAGAGTGCACTGTACCCAAGTTAACTTAGCTTTCATTTAGCAAAAAATTAATTGTTTCGCTGTTGGATAAAGTGTTTATAAAGAGACAAAACAAATATGCGCAAACTTCTCTTACCTGATAAGAACACAGCCATAGTAATTATCCAGCCCATTGTGTCACTCTAACGGTAAATACTAAAAGCATGAAGGCTTCTCAGTGCTCATACCTAATTTTTTTTAAGTATTTTGACGGGACCTACAACCACTTCCTCACCACTGAAAGTGCAAAGTGGAGGCCTGTCGATAGCAGCATGCACACATCATAAGGTCACAGCTCCAAGTTTAGGCAGCCAGATAGAGGAAGTCTTATGTAGGAGGAGTTACCAGGCCCGTCGCGACAGGACAGGCAAACCAAGCAATTGCTTGGGCCCCCGAGCTGGCCAGGGGCCCCGAGACAACGACTGGCTAAGAGTCAAATGCAACGACAAACTGTGTGAGCGCCCCTTTGATAGTCAATGCAGTAAAGTACAATGACACCGTTATCGGGATCCCCCCTCAAGGGGCCCCTCACTGCCGGGCTGACTGGGGCGGCTAGCGGTCGGCGGCAGGGTCACCCGGCACCCGCGCACACTGGTCGGATGCGCGATGTTCGCCAGTCTTTGGACATGGAGGACATCGTGATCGCCTTTGCGCAAAACAAGGCTCGCAAACACCAGTTTTAGATAATTTGCACATGTTTGTGAGAACTGAAAAATGTCAATGTGACTGTATATGTGTGTGTGTTTTTAAGTATGTTGGATTTAGTTATTGTGCACTTTTTTAATGTATATTTCATTTTATGGTAATTTCATGCACATTATGTTTTATGCCCTGCTATATAAAGTGTGGGTGAACTTAAACTTTATGGCTGTGCTGTGGTTCCTGTAGGTTTTGCGTGCGCGTGGCGGGGGCTTGGTGGGGGCTTGGTGGGGGCCTCCACGTCCATTTTGCTTGGGCCCCCCAAATTCCTTCAAACGGCCCTGGGAGTTACAACAAGTTTCTGTTTTGTATTAACACACACTGTGTCACAACTCCATTTCACAAATAATTTGTATTGTATCGTTTGGATTGAGTCACCCAGGCAAACATTTTTCCACAGAGTGAAGCCGGCGTGGTCAAGTGGATACGGACGATAGTCCGAACGCAAGGCTGAAAATGAAAAAACCAGTCAGATAACTGACCTAATGAAACCTTACCCGTAACCCGCGCTTTTACCCAGACGTGATGTGTCCCTCTGAGACGAGTCGGAGAGAGAAGTTTAATTATCTGATTCTCAACTTCACCAAACCCAAATAAAACATGCACTAAAATTCTATTCTGATCAGCATCCTCATGAAAAGGAAATCTAAAAAGGAAAAAGGTCCATTTCTTCTTTTTGCTCGACTTCCTCTACACAGCCCCGTCCCTTAGCCTGTGTTCCAGTTTTCATAGCCAGCAAACACAGCTAGAATATTGTCTTGTCCGTGTTCTTTCTTCCTCCTCTGTGGATTACGGTGAATTTTAAAGCATCAACTTAATGTACTTTGATGTTTATGAATTATTGTGCCATGGGTTTTTCACCTTCAAAGGACACTGTAGAGGAAAGTGAGCTGCACCACGATGCACACGATGCACAGTTATGGAACTGAAACTATCGAGCTGGCCTCCCCTCAACTTCTTGCCTTTGATGAAAAGACGTATCGGTGAATTTGTTGTAATGACTTCCGCATATAAAAACTCTGACTCTGATGCTCTCTGTACCGATTCCGGAGCAGTTGCTTGATTGTGAACTGTTCAACTTGGTCCTTTTGTGCAGTTTATTAACATGTACAAACACAAATTTATCTCTGTAGGTCTCCACTTATTCGGTCAAATTTCCACCACAGACACAAAGTGAGGAAATAATTCCGCTGATTGATTAGATAAAAATGCTACATCTGCATCTGGGACTTTCTTAGGGCTGGTTAGAAATGATGTCACATGCTATCTGAGCTTGTGTGTGGGTGTTCTTGTGTGTCTGAGTGTGTTATTAGTACATGCATATACCTCATCTATCTTCCTCCACATACCCTTTGGTTGAAAAGATGCTCTTCTCAGTTGAGAGAGCAATGTTGTATTCATTGCAGCGTAATATGCTTTATGCTAGAATTTACAGTGCAGGGATGTACTTGGAAGATGCATCAGTCTGTTTAAAAAGAATGTGGCAATCAAAGACATCAAAGTGAGTTTTACTAAGCTTTTTAGACCGTGAAAGGGGCAGATCTGTGTCATTAAAACTCACACCACTAATCAAGTTTTGATATCTCTTATCGAATAAGCCTTGTTTCCGAAATGTTTGTCTCTAAACTGATTTAATGTGCTTGTAATTTGTTTAATAAACCATCTACATCAGAGCTTTATTTCTCACTGAGAAATTAGGACAGTGGCTTCCAGGATTTGTAGGAATGCTGGATCACTAATCTTTCACACAAAAATAAAGCAAAAGGATATGTCACAGCTCTGTACCCTGTCATTTCCACTTCCTCTATGACATCATCTGGAACTGGTCTACTTTCTTTTCCCAGAGTTAAAACTACATATCTGGAACAAAGTCACAGAAAGCTTCAGGTCTGCTGTTCCTCAGATCCTTCAAATCCAGATTGGAGACTTTTCGGTTTGCTGCTGCCTTTAATTGACCATTTCGGCAATTCAGAATTCTTAACAATATTTTTTAAATGTCTTTTTAAAATCTTTTTAATGATGTTTCCTTGTTGTTGAAATGTGCTATACAAATAAAATTGCCTTGCCTAAAATGGTTTCGCCTTTTCCCCAATCCAGAGGTTTTCCCAGTGAGAACATGATGTTCTCCACTAAAGCCACTAGAGGGCGCTGTACTCCTGAGAGAGCTAGCGTGGAGTGTCGAGGGAAACAGGAATCGAGGCTAGTGATGGGAAGTTCGGATCATTTTACCGACTCGGTTCGTTGAATCTCAGTGCTGTGCTGTTCTGTTAACAAGGAGTAGTCAAGAAAGAAAGACTCCTAAATATAGGCTTGTCTGGTGTCAATACATTTCACGCGCCTGCAAGTGCCATGACCTCACTGATGATGAATCATATGTTTTATATCTGCAGGAGGATCAGGGCTGCCCTCTGCTGTGCAAGTCCGAATCATCCTGGTTTAAGTTGGCAGTCGTAACGATGAGTGGAAATAAATCTGTCGCGTTGATGTTCGCAGATTCAGGTCCTTCCTTCTCTTAAATGCATTTACCATGTTCAAGTCATTTGTTAGGCACTTCCAAGGTTATATTTCTTTAACAAAATGTATCTTACTGTTTAATGTTTTTATTTTATATCAATAAATTGTAGAGCAAAACTTCCTTGTTTTATATCTTTATTCAATGACAGGAATGAAGGACAACTCAAGTCATTTTTTCTACCTCTGTTGCCTTTCTACATAAAATGTGATGAGTCATGTCTAACGGTAAATATTCTTTATATAAGACATACTTCCATATATTATAGTTAAGAAAAATGAAGAGTAATTTTAATCACATGTATAATAAATGATGATGAAGAATAAATGTATGTAGTGCATTATGTTATGCCCCCCCTCTTCTTATTTTAATGCCCCAACAAAGTGACATTTGAGCCTGGAATGCCAATTAACTGCCTCCTATAAACTCTTGAGCGTCTATAGGACCTTTTATCCTCCATAATATGAACCAATTTCCCCGCTCTGACTTTAATTTGTAGGGGGCAAACTTCTTGACTCGCGGGCCACAATGGGTTCTAAAGTTGAGTGTTTGTGTGAGCTAATATAAATGACATGTACAAATCATTACATGAAAGCATTTGGCTTTTAAAAGTAGCAAAGCATTTATTTGCAAGGTAATTTAACAATTTTCACGAACATGAACAATATAAAAACATGTCGTAACGTGACTGATCAAACATCATAAAAACAAGTACTGCGCCCAAACCTCACTTGAACGTCTTTATTATTGCTACAATTTACTTTAAATAACTATCAATCCTTTCAAATGTAAATTACCATTGTAAACGTCCAAATCAAGACTACAAAAAAGTATATGTACAGTGACCAAATCTCCAGCTCATATAAGTTTGTAAAGCTCCTTTTGTATGAAAACAAATGCAGGCTTTGTAGGTTTCCCTCCACCTGCACCTGTAGCAGTTGTATCAAAAGCCTCCACCTGTCACGTGTGTTCGCGCCTCCACGTTGCCTAGTAACGAACGTACGGTGGCCGAGACGGTTTAACGCCGTCTCCTCGGGAGGTGCAGCGTGCGGACTGGTGGAAATGCGCGCGTCTCACGGTCGGCGCGGGAAGCTTCGGAACCTGCACAATGAGTTTATTGTGTCAGTCGTGTTTTGAGGAGCCTGCTGTAACGGACTGTCTCGTCCGGCCGAGGAAACGCTCGCTGCCGCCAGAAGACGGAGCAGGCAGGTCCGCACGGATCTCTGCTGGCCGACCGAACAGCCCGGAGCCGTTAAACCGGTCTCCATCTCCACGCACGTCTGTTAGCTTCAGCCTGCTAACAGCTAGCTACACGCTGAGCCGGATTCTACGCACATTTGGCGGGTGGGCGGGTGCTAATGTGAAGCCCTGGTATGAGTAAGTTTCCTTTTGAAGTGCTACTAAAATTGTTAGTTTTTTTAAATATTTGCCCGTGTCTGGGTTAGACTGTACAGCAGTCGCTGGGTACTACTTCCTAACCAAGATATACTCGTGTTACCCCTATATTCTATGTTATTGGAAATAGCAAATGACAGAGTGAGGGAGTGATGCCAAACCAGCTAAAGTTTTCTACTTGAATGGGAAAATATTATAAAAATGCTAGAACACGGATTAATGAAACAAATGAAGCAATGACAGTTGGCGCAGGCAGTGCTGTAGATGTTGTAATCATCAGACTATAATATATATTTGAACATATTTTATGTAAAGAAAGCTGCTGTCTGACATCTGCACCGCTTTAAATATATTAATCTGTTGTGACTGCATCTCCATCTTCCCCTGGATCCGCTGCATTATCGTTAATCATTTCCTTGTATTTACTCTTGAAGAATCCAGCCTGAGGAACAAAAGAAAATTGTTGTATTAAAACATGAATAATGAATATATGAAAAGACACCATTATATAGTATTCAGTTCTATTGTGTTACAGCCATTCTAGTGAGCCAGCATTCACACTATCAGTACCTTGACCCCCCTAAATTAAACCAAGTCATGGTACGGGTCGCACTTGAGTTCACTCTAAAAATGTCCAAATGTCTTCATTGCCTCCAAAAAGCGGCTTTCTAAACTGAAGCAGTGTTTGTCAGTGTCTCACCTTATACAGGCCAGCAGTGAGTAGCACCAGGAGAGCTAACCCTCCCAGCGATCCTCCAACAATCTCTTTGGTGAAGTCTGGTTCAGCATACACTTCTACCTCCGCCTCAATCTGAACAGTGAAATGATGTAACATGTGCATCCCACTCCAGCTCTGTGGAAACGCAAAGAGGTCAAAACGACGTGTAATCGCCTACCTTGTGAACAGGGGGGTTGTTGTAAGACCCCGTTGAGAAAAAGATGTACTGCTTTCTGTCGTACTCCAGACTGGCCGTGCTGATCAAGAGGAATTTGGCAGATTGAAGTCCAATCTTTTTGAGGAGAAAAAAAATGAAGAGTAGGATGAGCCTATCGAATTTATCTCCTGTGACGTGAATGAGATTAGTAACTCATTATTATGGATATTTTACTGCAAACCATTGCAATCAAAATCCAGCAATTGAAAGGCTCGGCAAGTGTGTGTTAGTTTGTTCAATGACAACACATCCTTTACCTGCTCAATCCATTCAGAACTGAGGTTGGCAGAGATTTGGTACGTTTTACTCTCCAGTCGTCCCATGAGCTTACTGCACTTGAAAACCGTGCACGTGGCTACAGAGCAGTCCTGTTGGTGTTTTCAGAGAAAGCAGTGATGAAAAGAATACTGGTTATATTGATGTAACACCAGTTCTATGAGTGAATGTTGGAGCCCTTAAATGGGCTTTGCAACTACTCGTATATGTCAGAGGGATACCTACCACTGACTTGTTTTTCTGTATCTCACCAATAAAACCTGTGCCTTTAGGTTGTTCATCAAAGCCTCTTTGGCAGTCTGGAATCTGAAATACAGTAAATTTATGTTGTATTTATCGCGATCAGACTTGTCTGATCATATCTGTTCATGAGACTGTAGTTGTGTAAAACAACTACAAATTCCCACCTGCAAGCTGCTGGAATCCGCCCAGATGTCTTTATCGCCGAGCCTCACGGGCACCCGAATCACCACAGTGAAATTCAGCGCTCTGATATCATTTGTAACCTACGAGAAGGAGAAAATAGAAAAGGTATCACACAATGTACACAAGCATTGAGGTGAAGTCATTTAGGTTTTTTAATATTTAGTGATAGAATTATGTAAGACAGTTTACCACAATGGATTGTTGGACTGGTTTGTGTAGATTATTCTTGCCGAATGAAAAATTGCTGTAGCTGAGGGAGCTAAATGGATATAAAAATAATTGACTGAATATTAGACGAAAAGATACGAAGGTTAAATGTTATATTATAGTATTATGCTATAGTAGTACTAGATACTGTATACCTTTTATTTTGTTTCACATAAACAACACAAACCTTTCAATCGTAGCAAAAATGCTGTACTTCACATCAATGTCCTTGTTTCTGTAGAGTTTGCTTGAACTGGAGTGATCCAGATTCCCACTAAAAGAAAGTCAAAATGATTTGTAGAAATGCAAATGAATGTGTACTGGTGCACACTTGCATGTTGCCGTGTTTCTCATGCGGGTAGGTGAGCAGTACCTGGTAACATTTGCAGAGAAAGAAATGCTCCTAGCAAGTTGGCTTCCAGTGTCAATCCCATAGGAGATGATGAAGAACGCCTAAATGACCCAAAGGAAATGAATCAGATGGCCTCTTCTGTCTCTGCAGTAGTGAGTAAAGATGATTCTGTCCAGAGATCAAACCTTGGAGTCGCTCTTCAAAATAGGCTTGTCGACAGTGCAGTCCGTCTTCCCTCTCGTTACACCATCTTCACTGTCCAAGGAGCTGCACTCAATTCTCCCCTTGATTACAAACACATGAGTTTGACCGGAGAAAGCAGCTGACCAGAGAGCAACTGAAACGAAAACTGATCCTGCCGTTTTACCTGCAGGGGTGTAAACTTCCTGAAAGAGAGTCCGGTTGGATATGAGACGATGACCCGGCTGTTGTAGGAGTTTTCCCCTCTGTTCTCCACTGAGACGGTGACATCCAACAGTTCATCAATGCCCACTTTAACCTCTAAGGATCTGATAGATTGTTGTGAGGAAAAAGGAGTTAGAAGTAAACAAAGGAACTTAACTTTGTTTGTGCTTCCTATTTGTAGCTCACTTGGTGAAGTTGAAATCCACTTTTAGGTCATCAACACAGTTATTGTCGTCGCCGCAATTGATCTCAAACCCCAACTGTGGAAGAGAGTTCGAAGTAAAGCATGTTGGTTCAGGTGTGAGAACTGACACAAGGAAAACTATTATACGGAAGATCAACGCTTTTTCCGCTAAGACTATTTATTTTTAGTACTTACAGGATGTACGGTGGTTTTCTGCGCCTGCAGGGCGAGACTAGGACTGGGATTTGGGGGGATAGGTAAACCTTCAAAGGCGAATCTGAGTTCATTGGAAAGTGCATTTAGAGCATCTTCTGGACAAGCCTGCAAGAAGAAGGTAGTGCGCTATTGTAACATTCATTTTTCTAAATAGTGAAGGTTGGATTAATTAAAGCAACATCGGCGTCAACCATTTGATTTTACAATACGAGAGAGGCTGTGATTTTTAAAGTTGTGCGCGTCTAACAACTCACCTGAACAAAGTACTTCACCGTGTTGCATACAGGCCGAATTAAGTCAATTTGAACTGTTCCTTTTGTCTCTCGTTGTTTCCCGTTAAAGTAGGCCCGGTTGTTTGGGACTTTGCGAGTGGCGTCCAGCGTTAGATTGTAGCTAATCTTTGCTGTAACTGGAACAGATTGGTTTGTCATTAAGAGGTTTCTCTTTAAAGTATTTAAATGACAGTGGAGCATCGGGTACCTTTGTCTACTTTGGAGTGCCTGGTCATGTTAAAACAGATTTCTGCTGTAATCTCCAAAGGATTTGAGCAGGCAGAGTTTTGAGTCGAGATTCGATTTGGGCTGAACGACACTTTAGCTTCCACCATCACTATTGGCTTGGATCTGGAAATGAACAGAGCGTGAAAACACACGAGGATAACCATTGGCTTTGTGATCGGGAGGCTCAAAAAATGCCGCAGGAAACCAAACGGGTTCTTAGCTGCCCAAAGAGACTGAATGACTGAAGGTCTGCACACATCGGAAAGGTAAAGTCTGATGAAGTATGTAGACAGAAGCAACTTGGATGGATTCACCTTAGTAAGACAACTGCACCCTTTGAACCGATCGCTAACTCAGGCAGCCCATCATCACTGTGGTCAAAAGACGACTGACTGATCGACAGGCCGAAGAACCTCAATGATGACCGGACTTCAGATGCTGCAATTCTCTGTGATGACCGGAATATTTTAATCATTCAAGTTGGAAAAAAATGCTTGATTGCTGCGGCAAACATGGAACTATAAATGCTGGACCTCACTCACCTGTGAGTAAGAAGAGCTGATTCCTCCTCCTACTCCTCCTTCTCCGTGGAATATGTAGATGCTGCCTTGGCCGTTGTTCTCCAAAGGCGCTCCAACTGCCAAGTCGCTGAGACCGTCGGTGTTGAGATCAGGCAGTACAGCCAGAGAAGACCCGAACCGTCCTTTGTCAGAGACCTCCCCTCTCAGTACTGATGGAGAGTCTAAGCGACACTCCACATCCTGGTGGAAATATACAGACGAGAGTCAACGTTTGCATGGTCGTTAGAAAAAAAGATAGATTTTAATGCTCCAAATCAAATAAATAATAATTTACCAAACCAGTCAAGCTGCAAACGTAAACTCTTCCCTCTCTGTCAGAGTCCATGAACATTGGGGCAGATATGAGGATTAAGTCAGTGTAGCTGTCAAGATCCACGTCCATCGCACAAACAACAGCCCCAAAATATTCACCACTCTGAAACTGTGAAAGCATCAAATTATCAATGAAAAGAGGGAAACATGTTAATAAAACACGTGCTTCACATTGTCTTTCTGGACTTTCAGCCCCTCTTTATTGTAAGGTCCCACCTGCCAGCGAAAGGGATCAATCGTTTCACTGAGGACGTTTTGGTGAACTACCATCACGGCTCCTCTGTGTTTATATCTTGGAGCACCGACAATTGTTAACGTGCCGTACATCGTGTTAGCAACGGCCATGGAGTAACCTAGAATCAAAATGCATCAGTTAGTCTGACCCGCTGTGAGCCAACTGTCAATCTCTTTAGCTGGTTTTAGGTAACTATCATTGCCTTTGCGGAAAACATGTGGTCATTGCATGAATGTATTTGACTTAGACAAGGAGTTTACTTTACAAAACGTGAGTATTATGGCTGAGAAGAGTCTTCCTATTCATCATCCAAAAGAAATTCGTACAAACCTGCTTAATATTTGACTTAACTGCTTTTTTTCTCATTTCAAATCTCACATAAAACACAATACAATGTTTTCTATATTATAATAAATAACTTAAATATTTTCAAAGAGAAAAGAAAAGAAAGCATTAGCAGTGCATGCAAATGGTGTTTGTTTGGTTTGTACATTCTTACCCAGATAACTGTCAGTCTCTATATCAGCCTCATAGGAGCCTGTCTTGAGGCCTGTCGACATTGAGTATTGGAGGAAGCCTCCCTTCCACTCATTAGCACCAACAATAGCCATTTGAATTCCCTTTAAAATGAAATATATATAGAAGAAGCAATGAAAGTAAGTAAACCTGGGTGTGGTGCAGGGCATTTCTGGTGTGTTTTTTTACCTCAGGCACATAAGCTGCACTGAATCCCTCTTGAGCCATTTCCAATTTCAGTGACTCTCCACTTGTTTGTGATCCTGTAACGGCAACATAAATGAACACGCATTCATGAATCTAACTTTGATCAGGAGGAAAGTCCATGCATGATTCCTCAATAAAACATGTTAATCAATATACAACTATACTGTCACGATCCAGCTCTCCTCTTCCCCGGAGTACTGAGGCCTTCAAAATCTGCTCCCCAAACTCCCCCCTGTTTTCTGTCTAGTTGGTCTGTCCCGCTTTGTGTTGGTTTGTTCCATTGTGTGTCTGCCTGTAGTACACGCCCACTCATCCCTACACACCTGTGTCTGATTTGGATCTCCTGTTTGTACCCCCTAGTGATGGGAATTTTGGATCTTTTTACCGACTCGGTTCTTTGAATCTCGTTCAGTAAAATGAACAAATCTTTTTTCGGGTCATTCGTTCATGTCGGGGGATGGTTGGTAAGATGAACGAACGAATCTTTCTTCGAGTCATATCGACTCGGTTCAGTAAAATGAACGAATCTTCTTTTTTGAGAGGACTCGTTACTCTCGAGTCCTTGGAAGGATTCGTTCAAAATGAACGAATCGTTCACGAACGACATATCACTAGTACCCCCGTTGAATACCCCTTGTTTGTTCTAGACCTCGTTGCCTCCTGCCTGATCCCTGTCGGTACCTTCGTCTATCTCCTTGCTCCTGGATTTCGACCTTCGGCCTGTCTACTGCAAGGGTGGGCAAACTACGGACCCGGCTCGTTGGGCGTTTCCCAAAGCACGATGACGGCAAAAGACCAGCATTGATGTTTCTTAACTCAAGTCGGGAACAGAGAAGGTGCGGCAGAGGACAGTGGTGCCGTGCTTTCTGCACCGCATCAGCCTGCGAGTCCACCTGCTGCTGCCAGGTTAAGTTCAACCTTAACCTGGCTGAATTCTATGCTTCACTAAGCGAAGCCCAAGTTTGCAAACAGAGGATGCTGGTGTTGTTTGGCTCTACTTAGGTGGTTGAGCAGACGTTCAGCGTGATGAAAACCAACAAATCACGCCACAGATCCCAGTTAACCGATGAACACCTCAGATCTGTCCTGAGAATTGCCACAACAAAGTTGACACCAAACTATCATGCACTGGCAAAAAAGGGGGACCAACAACACTGTTCCCACTGAAATGCAATGAAATGTAAAAATGTAAGTTCACTTTACTTTTTAGTTATTGGCTTTTACTTATAATTTATATTGGTTGACATAAACACTCTCTATCCATCTGATACCGGCCGTCTGTCAAATTTTAAAAGTCAATGTGGCCCCTGAGCCAAAAAGTTTGCCCACCCCTGATCTACTGGATATCACTAAGCCTACTCCCTGTGTAAACTGTTGTTGATTAAATCTGCACTTGGGTCTACTCCTGTCTCCTGTGATGCGTTACATATACCTTCAATAGAGAAGAGTTTGGCCTGCAGAGTCTGTCTTATTTTGTCAAGTGCGTTGAAACTTTCCACTTGAAATACGTTTTCTTTGGTAGATGCAATGGTGTCCAGTTCATTCTTTGCCCGATCATTGTTAAATGCGTCCCCCACCTATGAATGTTGAAAACAAAAGAGTCTGAGGATGTGACATCAGCTGCTTAAATTCACAGATTTTAAATATTTGAACTTACTCCAATAGCAAATCGAACAATCTTTTTGTTGTCAGCTAAACTTGTTGCACTTGACAAATCGTTATGGTCGTTAGATTCTCCATCGGTGATGACTATCAACACTTTGTTCACATTTGGCCTGGAACCTTTTGATGGTGTGAAAACGTCATTGCTGTAAAAAGAAAGAGGCCATTTCTATTCACCCTTTTGCAATGTAAACTCAACTACTATAAATCAATAAACACAAAAGTGACATAGTAAAGTTAGCAGTACAATACTTTTAACTTTTACTAGATTCAGTACCAAAACTTGGGACTGTTATTTTGTTCCACTCGGAAAATAAAGTGTTACAATTTATTAACAGAAGCAATTTTAAAGTTACACTGGAGATGTTTTGAAAGCTAATCAAGTTGTGCAGTTTCTATGAGCAAGTTCCCATTTAGTTTGTTGGCCAAATCTGCAAATAAAAAACAAGAGGGATCTCACACCCCTCGAGGGCTCTTCTCTAATGCACAAAGCCAAATGCCCACAAAACCTCTGAGTTATTCATCACCGGTCACATTGCATACATACAAGCTTCAACACATGCCTGATTTGAAATTTTCAATAAAATGATATTGAAATAGTTCTATTGATTTGATTTAACTCAAATTACAAATTCTTAATTACGTCCTTGCAGATGAAAGTCAACATGATGAAGACACTTACACCACAGATCTGATAGCTTTAGCTGTGAAAGTATATCCCCTTAGTTGTCTAATCCCATCAACTTTTTCTTCCCATGATCCAGTTTCAGAGATCAGATTGTCACCGAAGTAATAATGGATTTTGGGAGAACTGGAGAATTGGACAATGGAAAACTGCAAAAACAGGAAAGACATTCAGCCGTCAGTTAGTTTAACATTCAACTGTAAAAAAAAAAATAGTACAAACAAAAAAACCCAGTTATACCCTTGTGTCTGCTGGCAGAAGTGAGCGGACCAGATTTTTTACAAAAGTCTTCATTGTTTGAAAGTCCGATGATGCTACGCTTCCAGAGCCATCCAACAGAAATGCAACGTCTGCTGACCTGCAATCTGCAAGAGAGATTTCAAGTTAAAAAACATTTCTTCCTTCAGGACACGCCTCATAAATGCAGTGTGAAGATTCCTGTCCTTGCAATGAATATTAAATAAATACAAAAAATAAATTCCCTTTTATTGTGACATGTGTAGTGTGTTGAAAATAGATTACATTACATGTCATTTAGCGGACACTTTTATCCAAAGCGACGTACAATAAGTGCATTCAACCATAGGGTACAAACTCAGGAGAACAAGAAACAAGAAAGTGCAATTTCCTCAAATAAGCCAATTTACAATTTGCTATAGATGAGTGACGTTACAAGTACAATTTAAGTGCTACAATTTGTTAGTCTTTAGTCGAGGTAGAGTCTGAAGAGGTGTGTCTTTAGTTTGCGGCGGAAGATTCTATATGCATGTCAAAGATCTGATCAAAATAACTGAAAACCCACCGGAGGCGTGAAGATCTTTAGATGTGTTCGTACATTTGTGAAGATTTTTACAGACGAACGTCCGTCCCTGTGAATGTGTCTATTTACTGTGTATTTTTTAGGATGGTTTCAGTGAAGAAAGACATGTTTAATATATTCTGTCTTTAACCATTTTTTTTTCATTTTACTGTTTTGCTTGACAGATTATTTGGTTTGCTATTTCTCCCAAATTCATTGATCCTGATTCATTTCCATTCACGATTACTTTAGTGTATAGACAATACACACATTTCTATAATTTATTAGTATTTTTCATGGTTGTTTAAAATGTGTTCCTAAGTTGGTAATGGTAGTGACCCGAAGGTGCAAGTAATATTTATATAGCCAATGTTCATTTACTTAGTTATAGTTTCACAGCATGCTGAGAATATCTGATTGTGTCAGTGCTCATCACTCAAGAAAGACCTCAAAGTGTCCCTATGCAACCAATCATATGCACGTTGTGTTGATTGTGTAAAGGATGTAGGTGTTGTGTGTGTATTTATTTTCCATTTACCGCCATTAGAAGAAGGTACAGGGCCTGTAACTCGATCAGAATCGTCTATCTGCCAGCATGTTCCACTGTACATGGTGATACTTTTGCAGTCCTTTGGGATGGTTGGACCACATGCCTGAAAGTAGCACAAGGATCCTGATTAATGAATCATATTTTCCTGTGTGCATTAATAAAATGTAAGGTATTGTGTAAGTTTTTTCAGCGGATGGAAAGTCTATGAAAAGTTTAAAAGAATTTGCCACAATGAATAATCAACATTTGCAGTCTCTCGGCTCACCAAAGTTCTTTGTGTGGAGGGATCACTTGCCATCGTCAAACCGAGAGACATGTTCACTGCAAACGCAGCCTCTGTGTAGAAAAAGTCCATCAGTCATTCTGAACCCTTTGTGATAGCGCCACATCAACAGTTCCAAGACTACAAACCTTCAGCTCTTACTAGTAAAACACGTCCCAATGTGATCTGATAGTTGGTGAAGCTTTAGGAAATGGGAAGTTACTCACCAGGAACCGATAGTTGGGTGCATGATTCGGTACACTTATATATCTGTCCTCTTCCACTTGGTGAATACTGTGCAAGAGGAGCACTGACCAGCAAACTGTGGAAATAAAACCACACAGACTTGTGAAATAGCAAAAGAGATGAATCACACCACTGTGTCCCCATGAAAATGACTGATTAGTGAGAGACGATCGATCGTTTGGCAGAAATGCGACCAGCTAACATTTGTCTGGTTTAGATTCCAATGTTCCAGATCAACATTTTTGCTTCGACTTACTCTGATCGCCTTTGCACCACCTGGTATCCAAAACCTGCAGCACGTTCAGTCAACGTCTTCCAAGCCACAGGATCGATGTTAAAACAGAGAAAAGCGTTTAACCCTGCAGAATGAAGAACACTCATTTAAATTCACATTCGGAAATCTGTTTTTTGTATTCTATCACACTTGCCTTCTTGCCTTCCTTTTTGTCTTTTTTTTTCCTCTAAATATGGTCAGAAATGATGCAATGCATAACGTATGTCCTAGTTCTACTCCGATTATCTTGGTATTGTCGACATCCCTTTTGCTGATGTAGTTTTTCCAGAAAAAAAAGTCTAAAAAGGGTACTGAGTTTGGCACTGTGAAAACGAATATCTTTAAGTTCTGTTATAGTTACACCAGAACAGCTTTTATGGCTTCAGAAAGACACTGTTTGCAATGTTTATTGTCATTGAATTGTTAATATTTGGTGAAACAAAACCACCGGAAGCAAAAGTATTACCACGGCAGCTAAACAGATGTAGCACAAGTTCATAAAGCTGTTTTTCCTCCAATCTTCATCAAATTGGTGACTCAAAATATTTGGGTGATCCGTTTGATAAGAAGAGCCACAATTCTTGCAAATGTCTACTATTTGATGGCATTACAATAATAGAAATTGCTACAATGTCGTAAGGTTATATGTCCGACTCAATTCAAGTGGGTTTCTTTTTTGTACAATGTCATTTAATTGTAATTGCACCCCACCACAATGAAGTCAGGGTTTAGATGTTGGAAAAAATATATATACACAAAAAACATTTATAATACATTACAATTAGAGCTTTATTAGGTCAGAGTAAACTGAGCTGGTCACATATTCAAGTACTTTGAAAAACAAACAAAATATTAATTTTTGTCTTTTGGTTGTTAGGACGACACAAAAAATCGTTTGTGATAATATGTCGTCATGAAGAGACAAAACCTCTCTTACCTGACAAGAATACTGCCGTAGTAATTATCCAGCCCATTGTGTCACTCCAATGGTAAATACTAAAAGCATGAAGGCTTCTCCGAGCTCATTTATTTATTTGAAAAGAATTTTACTGTGTGGGGACCTACAACCATTTCTCCACCACTGAAAGTGCAAAGTGGAGGGCTGTCGATAGCAACATGCACACATCATAAGGGGACAGATCCAAGTTAAGACAGCCAGATAGAGGAAGTCTTATGTAGGAGGAGTTACAAGTTTCTGTTTTGTATTAACACACACTGTGTCTCAACTCGATTTCACAAATAATTTGTATTGTGTCATTTGGATTGAGTCACCCAGGCAAACATTTTTCCACAGAGTGAAGCCGGCGTGGTCAAGTGGATTCGGATGATAGTCCGAACGCAAGGCTGCAAATGAAAAACGAGTCAGATAACTGACCTAATAAAACCTTACCCTTAACCACGCTTTTCTCAAAATATTTAATATGACCTTTTACCCAGCCGTGATGTTTCCCTCTGAGACGAGTCAGAGAGAGGAGTTTAATTATTATCTGATTCTCAACTTCACCAAACCTACATAAACATGCACTGAAGCCCTATTCAAATCAGCATCCTCATGAGAGGGAAATCTAAAAATGAAAAAGGTCCATTTCTTCTTTTTGCTCGACTTCCTCTGCACAACCGCGTCCCGTCTTTGAGCCTGTGTTCCTGTTTACATAAGAGGAAAACACTTACGATAATATCGTCTCGTCTCGTTCTTGCTCACTCGTGCTTTCATAGAAGGATTTCTGTGAATTTCAAAGCATCAACTCAATGTACTTTGATGTTGATGAATCATGGTGCCTTGGGTTTTTCACCTTCAAAGGACACAAAGTGAGGAAATAAAGCTAATTGATTAAATAAAAATGCTTGATCTGGATCTGATTTCTAAAGGCTGGTTAGAAATGATGTCACATGCTATCCAAGTCTCTGTGTGAGTGTTCTTGTGTGTCTGTGTGTGTTATTAGTACATGCATATACCTTGTCTTTCTCCACATACCCTTTGAATGGACCTTTGGTTGAAAAGATGCTCTTCTCAGTTGAGAGAGCAATGGTGTATGCATTGCAGCGTAAAATGCTTTATGCTAGAATTTACAGTGCAGGGATGTACTTGATGCATCTGTGAATGTGGCAATCGAAGACATCAAAGTGAGTTTTACTAAGTTATTCGTAGAGCGTGAAAGGTAGTAGATCTGTGTCATTAAAACTTAAACTACTAAATGTGCTGGGGTTGGGAACGCAGCCTTTCGGCTGGCTTCTTCCCAACCAAACGACCAATTAGTGGCAGCACCTGCCATCATGGCCGTATTCCCCTTTGGTCCTGTGCTGTACAGGTATGTTTGTTGGCATTTTGTGTTGGTGTATTGTATGTGTTTTCAATTCTGTACACTAACACAAAGCCCCCTTTTGGTCTTGCGCTGTACAGATAGAAAGAGGGAGAACATGCTGCTGTTTTGCCATTTGATATTTTGTCATTTGATATTTTCTTTGGTTTACTTTATGCTGTTTTTCTCAGTTGTTTTGTTTGCTGTGTTCAACTTGCCTGGTTTTTATAATCTTAACCCTGTTTTTAGTGATTTGTGCTTACCTTGGTTTTATCGTTTTCTTCAATAAAACCTTTTTCTTAATTACTACAAACGTCTCTGCCTAATCCACAGTAACTTATTTGGGTGTCTAGGGTATCTAAATCTGTATTTATTGGGCTGTAAGTCCCCACGTGGAGTTGTTGGTTGCTTTCCCTAAAGCCCCGTCACATAAACAAGTTTTGATATCTCGTATCGAAAAAAACTTTTTCTGATATTTTCCTCTACACTGATTTAATCAGTTCATTCTGTGCACCTGCTAGTCACCTCCACCTCGTCAGCCCTTATCGAGATTACTACCTGTTTGGATCACTGCATCCAGGTCAGACGATCGGCAAGACATCTGGATCAGTCCAGCAAGGGGGAACCATTTTGCTTACAATTGCTCATTAAATCGTGCTCGCCAGTAAAGGACGAAGTACTAGTGAGCCGAACAGTTTCTCAACCCCCTGCCTGACAACGACCCCTTTTCCACGCTTAGGCTACTATTCCCCAGGGGACCCCATACAATTTCCACTCTCCTGGATTCGAGAGCAGATACGTCCATAATGAACAAGGACCTTGTTTAACAACTGGGGATTGCCCAGATACCTCTCCCCCAGGCTGTTCCAGCCAGCGCCCTGGACGGTCACCTTCTGGGAGCAATGACGCACAACACTGTTCCGGTCCACATGCTGCTGTCAGAAAACCACCACGAGACCATCAGCTTCCACATTCTGCAGACCTGGTGCACCCCCCTTATTCTGGGATACGCCTAGCTAACGCTGACACAATCCTCACATCGACTGGACTATGGGGGCTTTTGGGGGCTGGAGCCAGTACGGCCATCTAGTCTGCCTGAAGCAAGCCACCGTTCCACAAGGTGCCACATAATGGCATTCTTAAACTACGCTGCAATTTTATCTTTTTAATGACTGTTATTCTTTGTGTTTCTATCAATGTTCTTAACTTTTTGTAAATCTCCTTGCTTTGTGTTTGTATGTTTTTTATGGTTTTATGTAAAGCACTTGGAAATGCATTGTTGTTGAAATGTGCTATACAAATAAAATTGCCTTGCCTAAAATGATTTTGCCTTTTCTCCAATGCAGAGGTTTTCCGATTAGGAGTGCCATGACCTTACTGATGATGAATCATATATATCTGCAGGAGGATCAGGGCGGCCCTCTGCTGTGCAAGTCCGACTCAGCCTGGTTTCAGGTGACAGTCGTAACGATAAGTTGCCAAAGCTTCAAGACTCGGATCCTTCCTAAGGGAGAAAGGTTGTCTCCTGCAGCAGCTGCAACAGAAAATTCAACGGCAGCAACAGTGAATGTAACGGCTGCAACAGGAAAAGCAGCAAGTTTCTCAATTTCCCTTTTGCTGGATTTCGCTGTGCCCATGGCCTCAGTGTTTCTGTTATTTGGACTTTAGGTCTGTTGTCTCACAGGCATTTTTAAGGTTCGTTAATTGCTCTCTTCCCAACCTCTCTTAAATGAACCGTAGGCGTAAATTCAGCCAGGAGGATTAGAGAAGCCTATGCCTGCCCCAGGGGCCTCCGCTCTCTGTGGGTATGCCATAAGCTGATTAACAGTTAAACACATTTGAAACATTTGAAATCTGAAATAACCCAAACAAGCTTGCAAATATACAATTAAAAGGTTCTCTATTTATATTTATTTATTGTTTAAATTAATTATTAAAAAATTGAATTTCATAGAGCCTCCTGCCACATTTCATCACATTGGTTGTGCCAATGTTGTGAACGTAGTGCACTTAAATATATACATTAGGGGTGTTAATAGTAATCAATTTTTTAAATTCATTAATCACGATTAAAAGTTTATTTTTCTTCTAAAATCTAAATCTTACAAGTTATGAGTAATCACTTTAGAAAGTGTGTATTTTAGACCCCGTTGTTTAATTGTTAATGTTATTTTAAACACAAAACTACACACATTTGATCAACTTGGAGGCAGAATTCCACCAAGTGGAACATGTTGAACTAGCGACTCTTCCTGCCGGCCTCGTGCAATTTCCTCTCAACTCTCTATCAATTGATGGCTGTGTTTGAAGTGCCAACAATGTCCCCACATTTAGCCAGGACATGTTCCAAACCATTGTCTTTTAGGGACACAGTGATGGTCCTCTTGAGACCGCGCAGGGTAGATGTGGAGATAGAAGTAGCCTAGCAACTAGCTTAGCCTAGCAGTGCTTCAAAGTGGTCCGTTTGCCACTCACCCCTCTTCAGTTTGAGGAGGAATTCCTCTGTACAGTTCTCCATTTTCAGTTACCAACTTGCTCTCTACCTTCTAACTGACTGCAGCTAGCGGCGGTTTTGTTTTCCGGGGTCAACTTTGTTTACTTCCGGCACACCGGAAGACTGGTCAAGTTAACAAAGTCGCGTTACCTGCATTAAAATATTTGATCACATTAATCTCAGGCACATTAATCGCATAGATTAGTGCGTTAATGTTGACATTCCTAATATATATGTTTTAGGTGCACTACGTTCATCCTCACTTGTCATATTTAGGGAGTGATTTTAAACAAGCTTAAGTTTTCTACTTCAGTAGATTACTGAAAATATTCTAAAAATGCTAGGATTATTGATATTGATCAGTGGTTCTCAACTGGTCTGGCTCCAGGACCCACCATCACCCCTTAATTACAAGCCGCGACCCAAATCGAGGAACATTCTCAACTTCTCAAATTTATTTAATAAAATGATGGTGCAGTTTGAACCTGAGATAGTATGGAGACAGAATAAGTATGCCAACACAAAAACAAGTTTAATGAAAAAACAAAACAGCCAGCTGGTAGCGATGCTAGAGAGGGAACTATTCCCTTTTACAGTCAATTATCTAAAAACCCCAAAGTGTATCTTAAGGACACGAGGTATTACAACATACATAACAATTAAGAATCTTCAGCCATTTCAACAACAAAAAAGGCGAAAAAAGACACAAATTACTTAACTTCAACAGATCTATGACAAACACTATGTCTCGAGGAGCAGCTTTTGCACAAATTCAAAATGAATTAAATAAACCTGGCACACGCTGCTGAAAACATAGACGGACGAGCCGGCACAAAAAAGACGACACTCCGCTGCATTAAAAAAAGTCCCTTCAAAATATAATCACAGGATACATTTTTTTTGTTTTTTTAATTCTAATTTTAATTTTCTCAGGCAAAGGCCGCGACCCACCAGTTGAGAATCACTGATATAGATGAAGCTGGCAGCGTTACAGATATTGAAACTGTTGTCTCGTTTTGTAGTCAGCTGTAATCATCAGACTATAATATATATTTGAACATATTTTATGTAAAGAAAGCTGCTGTCTGACATCTGCACCGCTTTAAATATATTAATCTGTTGTGACTGCGTCTCCATCCTCCCCTGGATCCGCTGCATTATCGTTAATCATTTCCTTGTATTTACTCTTGAAGAATCCAGCCTGAGGAACAAAAGAAAATTGTTGTATTAAAACATGAATAGTGAATATATGAAAAGACACCATTATAGAGTATTCAGTTCTCTTGTGTTACAGCCATTCTAGTGAGCCAGCATTCACACTATCAGTACCTTGA